GGATCCGGGCTGAGTAGCAGTAGTCTTTGGAGGCATTGCTGTAACAGTTGGTCTGACTCATACAGGTCGGGTTCCCAAAACTCCACATCATCATGTCCAGATGTTTCACCTCAATCACTGCAACATCCTTATGAAGAACCTGAGGAGAAGATGAAACAGATAAGATTATTTATACTCATTCTAACTACACAAAAATCTAACATTCTAGATCCAAGTTTTTTTAAAAGAAAAAAAATGCTATATTTATACTTAAATAATAATAGTAATTATTGGTTGACTGATATATTACCGTATATTGGCCGATATTTGACATTTTTAAATGATCAGTTTTGGCCGATAAGTGTCAAAAACAGCTTTATATTTCTTTTTTTTTTAAGAAAAAAAAAGATAGATTTATACTTAAATAATAATAGTAATTATTGGTTGACCAATATATTACCATATAGGACTATCGGCCAATTTTTGAAATTTTTTAATTATTGGTATCGGCCAATAAGCATCAAAAACAGCTTTTATTTTGACAGCAATGAGACAAGACTATTTTTTTAAGGAAAAATTATATTTATACTTAAATAATAATAATACTTATTGGTTGGCCGATATATTGCCATATATCAGCCGATATTTAAACATTTTTAATTATCAGTATCGGCCGATAAGTGTTATTAGATGCTTTCATTTTGACCGTGCTAAGAACAGCAACTCCTGAGTGCACATGCAAGCATAACCTTTAAATCCTTCAATTTGAACTATGCAAACTAATCATGCTTTAACTATTTATTTGTAAAATTAACTATTTAATTTCAGATATATTTTTAAAAAATCAGTTTTTACGTTTTTTTTGGGAAAATTTACATATTTATTATTAAATAATGGTAATTACTGGGTAAGCAATATACTCCCAAGGCTAATATATGGGCCGATATTGAACAATAAATTACCGTTATCGCCGATGTGTGTCGGAGGCAACTTTTTGACAGCGACAGAAAGAGACTTTTATTTTGACAGTGCACCTGAGCGTAGATGTGGGCATAATCTTTAAATCCTTGATTTCAAGCTAAGCAAACTATTAATGGTTTTAATTATTTCTTTGTGAAAAATACTAGCTAATTTTTTTAACCAAGTTCAGTAATTTCAGATAATTTTATCATATTAATTCATTTTACAAGTTATGATTTAGTAAATATATAGCCAAGGCTGGTACATTGGCCGATATTTTTAATTGCATTTCATTGCAATTTTAATTTCATTTTAAATTTCATTGCAGCAATTGTTACGCATGTTACATATTTTTTTTTACATATACTGTATCTCATCATATTTATCACATATTTTACATATGTGCAATCGGTCACTCTCCTCTTTAAGTTATCGGTATAAGCCATCGAAAAAGCCAATTCGTTTGACCACTAATAATAATAATTATTATTATTATAAAATATAATTATTTAATTTAGTAGTATTATTACTACTAAAAGCTGTAAAGCTGTACAAATGCACAGTCTCTGGCTTTTCTCCAACATCTCCCTCAACATTTAGAGTATTCAAATGGACAATCATCACTCTCTCATCAACACTGAGACAGCAAGCAGATATGAAAGCAGTCAGCATCATCTGACAGTCTCCTCGCCCTCATACTGATTGCGGTTATATAATACAGATCGTTCTGACGCAGTGGAACACTAGACACTCGTTTGATGAGCGTCCAACTCCTCTCCTCCATCTGAATCAGCCCACTCGTTCCAGAGCTCACCTGCTCTCACACGCTCCACCGGCAACAGCCATCCCCCTCTACGGCCCACTGGAACCATGGGAAATCTAAACAGCCCACACAGATCCACGGCACTAAAAACAGGACGGATCATTTCAGCTACATCTAAAAACTGATTTCAGGCAAGCACAGGGGAGTTGAGTGTTTGTGCCACACCGGTGACAGACGTCTGTGTGGGAGTTTTCTGACTGAAGGAAAACGGATATCTAACTGCTAGTGGTCTGAGGTTGTAGGTTCGAACACATGCAGGTAGATTCAATGCAATGTTGCTGAGATGGATGAATGTTTTACCTATAGTAACTAGTCGCAGTATCAGACGAGACGGCCACAGTTCAACCAGTTGCTGCAATCACTAGTTCAAACGTGATTGGACAGAATTTGCACAACTATTATGACTGGCCAGCATCTATACAGATTTACAGCAGTAAATCAGAGGAAAAAGGAAGATTTGCAGTAAATGATGACTTCAATTTGGGTCAAGATGTGACTTTTATAATATCTAATAACAACAACAACAATAAACAGAAATACAACTGGTTACGCTGTTTACAGCTGTACGTTGAACAACTGAAATAGGCACAAATGTGTTTCTAAAAATAATTCAACCTAATAAATGTAATTCTACATTGCCTCCCACAAGGCATAAAACTTAATTCAAAATAAAAGACTGATAAATGATAAAATTGTATAGGCTTGCATGAGTACTGTCTGCTCATATACTGTAATAGTTGATAAATTGATTAATTATTTTCATAGATCGATTTCATTGTTTTCAATCTGCACCAGATGAGAGAGCTTTACTTTTAAGACCAAAAGACTACTGTTTATGTAAAGAGTGGCCAGGATAAATTCAAAATTCTCATTTTGGGGTTTGGAACCACATAAATTAAAAAGTATATATATATAAGCTGAGGATGACTGGATCAGCGCTGAAGAGACATGATCCAACCCCTGGCACTGTCCAAACACAGCACATGAGTGGCTAATGGACCCGATCTGCCAGCTGAGACTCAGTGAGACTCAGGCTTAGCGCAGAGAGTGAGAGAGCGAGAGAGCGAGAGAGCGAGAGAGCGAGAGAGAGCGAGAGAGCGAGAGAGAGAGAGAGAGAGAGAGAGAGAGAGAGGGGGGG